TGTTTTCACACGGGACTCAGTGGGCTATTGCCCGGAGGAGAGAGTGCGACAGATGCCGCGAAAGTCTGCTACCATTACAAACCGATTCACGCGCAACTCGCCGTCTCCGCGCCCACCACGCTATGGTGCACACAGTGGTCATCATCGCTTGCGATGGTGGAACTATCATTTGGCGGTTTGTGGTGTTTCCCGTGCCCTCCTCTGCGTCGGCAAGACTTGGCGGCCCAGGACGCCGCTCGCCGTCTCTGTCTCCCCCGTTGGATTGGTCCACTACCGGCTTGCAATATAAGGAAACCATGCGTATGGAATCAGCTAGTAAGCCTGGTGATGCGCAGGACTCGCCCACGAAGTTAACGCACACGCAAGTCGCTACAGCTCCACCAGAGCAGGGATGACCACTGTTGATTTCAACAAAGGACTCATCAACTCAACCCAGAGCACCCACGCCACAAAGAGGCGTTTACGGCTCCCAAAACCGTTACGTTCTGGAATCAGACGCAATCATTTCTCAGCACTTTACAGTAGAATGGTGCTCTCAGATAACGCAACCTCGGCTGTGAGAGATCAAGCTCTTCTACTAACCAAGGTGAAGTTCAGGGAGCTGGTTTGGGGATCCGGTCGACGGTTATGGCTTAGGATGTAAGAGCACTAGCTGGTTATGCAGAGGTAGAACCCAAAGCCCTGTGTGGCGAATAATTCTGTCTAGATCGGCCAGAATTTCAACATCGAAGACATCGTGATTTGTAACATGACGCTCACGCTTTCGTTCAGTTAATTGTCACATTTCATTACCTGTTGTTTATGAGATTATTGTAGCATCAATCACAAAGGAAGGCATATCACCGACGTCAAATTCAGATGGCAAAGGAAGGTACTTTTATCATTAAGAAAACATTGATTCCTGTTAGTCATTTGTCTCCGACAATCGACACTACGTCTGTTTGTCCAGGGGGATTGCCATTCTCTATAAATTTCAAGCGACCTGTTTTCTGCTCATAAGATACGCTGTCCAGGCACCTTACAGTTTATCATATAACTTAAAACATGACAAAATAAACCAACGCTCGTTAACTGAAAGAATTAACACCGGAGCACTGACGGCACACTGCGAGTGGGCATATAGTGTAGCTAAAATGCCTTGCTCCCCAAACGGCCACCCGATAGATGCGCCGGACCAACAAGGGGGGGGTCACACTGGATGCACACCATAACTAATGCCAACATTCGGGGTGCGGTGGCAAGCTCAACTGCCGGCCCACGTCATGCCAATTCGGATTGCTGCCACCCACCGTCCTATTGTTGTTGTTGTTGTTGTTGTTGTTGTTGTTGTTGTTGTTGGTTAAACTTCTGGTCCAGTGTTTATTGTGGACCTGGGGGTATTGCGATACACTTAGGCTCGGGTTCGGCCATGCCAGCCGCCTGCGCCCCCTCTCACCTGCGGTCTTTTCAACTATGTCTTGACACCGGGCCCAGGTGAGGGAGGAGCATAGAGTACGGTGGATGCTGCGCAAGTCTACTCTCAATATAAACTAATTCACGCGCAAGTCGGCATGTTTTACTCACCTTGCGGTGGAGCACACGGTGGACATCGTCGGGCACGATGGCTGAACTGACGTAGTTACAGTAGATGTGCTAACTCATGAAATGTCAAACAAAATTTCGAAATGCGTTCTCGTTTCGAAAAGATAAATTAAGTAGTGTTGTAAAACTAATCACGATGCAGCATAAATCTATAATGATCCAGTTACCTCAGGGTGTCGGCTTTCGAAAGAACTTATTTTCGGCTGCATGAAATATCTATACTCTGCAAAAAATGACTACTTATGTAGCATGCAATTTTCTCATTGATTTTCGATGCCCTTGAAAATTCAATTATATTTCGTGGAAACCATGCTTAAAAATATTCATTCTTTTACTTATTCGGTAGAAAGTCACGTCTTCCTCCAATTTCATACTCAAAAGAAGAATATAATTCGGTTTAAAAAACTTTTCTTATTCCCGAATAATTTTGAACCCGACCTGCTGTTACACTTGCATTCAGGGTTTCAAAACTACAAGCTGCATATTTTCCGTGTACGGAAAACCATGCACTTCTCTACGGTGTTAAGAGGAGACCATATGAGGTTCATAAAATTAAGCAGTGGATTTGAGCAATATTGTTAACTTTACAAGCCACATTCGTAAATGCAGATACATGACGTTTCATGAACGGCCATTTAACGGTATTAAAAAATCTCACGATTATAAACTTTTTAAAACCGAATTATTCTCTTCTTTTTGAGTATAAAATTGAAAGAAGACGTAATTTTCTACCGAATAAGTAAAAGAATGAATATTTTTAAGCATGGTTTCCACGAAATATAATTGAATTTTCAAGGGCATCGAAAATCAAAGAGAAATTTGCATGCTATATAAGTAGTCATTTTTTGCAGAGTATAGATCTTACATGCAGCCAAAAATACGTTCTTTCGAAAGCCGACACCCTGCGGTAACCGGATCATTATAGATTTATGCTGCATCGTGATTAGTTTTACAACACTACTTAATTTATCTTTTCGAAACGAGAACGCATTTCGAAATTTTGTTTGACATTTCATGAGCTAGCGCATCTACTGTAGAATGCTAACTATTTTACGTGGCATGGTCTGTGAAGAGAGAGAAACTGCCATAGCGTAATCCGTGCAGATTACTCAACTCCAGCCCCAAAGTCTCGATTAGTTCATTTTTCAGTCGGTCCTCGCGTACAACCCACGGTCTGGAACTATTAAAAACACATGGAAGCTAAACATCCCGTTTTCCTCGACAGGACTTAATTCCGTAGCCTAAGGAGCTAAGTTCCGCCAATATAAAACTCCTAGCTTCTGACACTCGGGACATGCCAACGCAAGGTTAATGCTCGCGCTCGCTGCCAAAGAGCGGTCAAGTTGGTCTTTATAGTAGCCTCGGAATCGTAAATTGCGATGTGCGCTAAGTCTGACAGGCACGAATACTTACATGCACTGCATTGTGAATTGTCCGCCCTTTTTCAGAAGAACTGCAGGAATCAAAGTTTAAAATGCAGCACCAAGAAATGGAACTCAATCGGAATCTGAAGTCGCTTTTTAATTAACCGTCATCGGTTTATCCCGAATTTTATTCCAAGACAGGGCCTTCTAAAAAAACCTAAGCTCCTCGTAGACACTGCAACTAATTGCGTTGGAGACCGCAACAATAATATTTCGAGGGTTGAGGAGGACAAACTGATTTTTCAAATTCTCAGCAAGCTATTCGACGTGGCGTGCCTTGACTGATTAGAAGGTATCCGTATTTCCTACACAGGGCTTCGTGAACCTCAGGCTTGGTCTCGCCAGTCTACCAAGTGATCTACCATAACGTGTCCTGTCATCGTTGAACATCATATCTTCCCCCGCCTTGTTTACCATGTTTTTCTCACGTCTGTTGCCTCCCGTTTTTTCAGATTTCCTACCATTTGAAGCACTGTAAGGCGGACGAGGCTCTATTCGATTATGCCCCCATGAACTGATATGCAGGAATAATAGCTTGGTCGCCTAGTGTATAAGTCATTTGCGATATTTAAACGAATGCAATGACATAGCGAGAGAATTCAACAGTTGCATCGATGTCACAATGCAAAAGCTGTGCGAAAGCCTAAATCAAATAGACTCAGCGTACAGTCTGAAGACTAGTGTTCGCTCACTTCTAGCATTGATGTTAATACTGACTGGTCTACCTACAACACACAACCACCGACCATCCCGATTGATGGGGGCATATAGTCGAACTCAAAGTGCTCTTAACTGTTTATTTCTGGGAAAAAGACCAATAGAAATTTAAAACCGGTGGAAAAAACTTACATATAAACCTGGACAAACACAAGTCTCCATTTTCCCACTTTAAACGCACCCACTTCAAATCTCCCGTTCTTGAAAGAGGTGCATTTTTAAGCAACTTTAGCATTTTTGCCAGCCTGCTGGGTAGGATAGCAGAGTGCACAAATATTTAAATGATCGCTTCTTTTATATGCCCCTGCTGCTTCTGCTGCTGCTGCTGCTGCTGCTGCTGCTGCTGCTGCTGCTGCTGCTGCTGCTGCTGCTGCTGCTGCTGCTGCTGCTGCTGCTGCTGCTGCTGCTGCTGCTGCTGCTGCTGCTGCTGCTGCTGCTGCTGCTGCTGCTGCTGCTGCTGCTGCTGACACGGAGGGTTTAGTTGTAATTTGTTGGGCGGAAATCAAGCTTTTTCATGGGGGTTTTGAGTGTAAAGCTTCAAGGCTTCCTCTAAAAGTTTGAAAGATATGGCCTTCCAGCGGAGAAGCCTATATAGCTTTCACCTTTTACTGTGCTTCGCAGGCTGGAACTTTACGAATGTATATGGCTGCCGATTCGTGAATGGTTTTGATAGAATTTTAACATTCCGATGGTTGTGCACAGACTGGTTCGATCTGTGAGAGGAAGAATTGTTGTGTGACGCACACAGATGTGGTATATGTCAATTCAGACGATAAGTACAGTTTCATTGGAGTTCCGTGATACAGACTTGCCATAGACCATAACCAGAGTGGAAAGAGATTGCAGCAGATGCCGAGAAGTCTTATTCGCTTCAAACCAATCTATATGTAAGTTATCTCATCTAACCAATCACCTTCATAATCTGCCCTACCTCCAATACCTCATTATCAAATTCTTACGGAAAGGATAGGATGTAATTCGTCTGACCTGGATCCTTTTCTCCCTATTCTCGTCGTCAGCCGCTTTAAAATTCAAAAATTACTCCTGATGCCTACGCGACCTTAAATACCCGTTGCTTGCCACCTCATGGCGGAAAGCGCTGGAAAATGTCCCCTAAATTATTTGTTCATACGCTTGGTGCAAGTAACTACTGCTTCTGAAAATAATGCATGCGGCCTAAATCAAACAGACACACGCATTCTTCACCTCTTTCTCCATCCTTCCTATCAGAGTGACTTCATTCATCTTGACAACTCATAATGTTCATTTCAGTTCAGTTTTATTGTAGGAAATGCAGGTCCTCACCTTTGAACTCCATATTTTTTTACAAGCAACTGAAAAATCTCAAAAACTGGAAAAGGTATCATAAAGGTAACAAATAATCGGAAAAGGCTCAACTCCGAACAGATAACCAAACTGTCTCGAGTGTAAGTGGTACGAGCAGTAGTACAGTGGTCGTTTCGAGTGCAGGGAAATAAATAGTATTCCAGTGACAAAAGTTGCACAGGTGCATGTCAGTAAGCGTAGGCGATGAGTTGGAGACAGCAAGAAACTCGATTTTAAATGTTACCGAAATATAGCAAGTAGTATCATAACAATGGGATTTGCCAAGTTTGCAGAGGTAGGGTGGTAATTTAGTAACACTGTTATACAAATCCAGCTTCTTCTTAAAGACCTCGACGGAAGCAGACATAATAACATCCGGAGGCAGGCGTTCCAAACTTCAAGTACTCTGTTAGAGAAGAACTCTCGTGTGTCAAGCCTGGCCGCGCTCAAACGTATTTTGAATGGATGATCTCGTAGGTTCGTGGTGGTTGCTAACTCGACGGAGTCCCCCGGTACGAGACTGCAGTCCTGACCGCGTTTGATACGGAATGTTTGTATCAGGTCACCCCGTAACTGCCTGTAACTCAAGGGAAAGAGCTCAAAGTTAGCTAACCGCGTTGCATATGGTAGAGAACCCTGTCCTGTCACAAGTTTCGTTGCATGCCTTTGAACCCTTTCGAGGATGCTGAAGTCCTTCGCGGTCCAGGGTCTACAAGCCTGGGTAGCAAGTTCCAGTTGCGGCCGCACAAAAGTTTGAAAGACTTTTGCGAAGCAGTTTTCATCAAAGACAGAGAAAGCCCGCTTGATAAGGTAGGGAACTAACATTACAGACTAGACTACCTTCGTGCAGTGCAGCGAAGGTTCGAACGACGGCGTAATCCATATTCCCAAGTCCTTCTGCGAGTCCACTTCTTGCAGTGGTATACCATTCAGGCAGTAAGCCATGTGGTTCGGAGAGCGGGCTCTGCCAACTCGTAGAATATTGCATTTTTTCTCATTGAACGGCAAAAGCTAGTCCTTTGACCACTGTTGGAGTCGGCTTAGGGTCGCCCGCAAATGTCTTCGTCGTCGGCAGTTAGAATGGCGCTCTAGAGCTTAATATCACCCGCAAACACGGCGACACCCCAGGTCAGTTCACTAACGCAATCTTGGACGTAAATAATAAACAGAGCTGAACCAATAACTGAGCCTTAGGGAACACCGCTTTCAACGGTAACCTCCGTCGACTGCTGGCCACCAACATGGACAGTTTGAGAACTGTCAAAGAGGAGGCTTTGAATCCATTTCAAGAGGTTACCCCTAACGCCTGTTCGACTCAGTTTGTGCAGGAGTCGGTGATGTGGGACATTATAAAATGCCTTTTTAAAGTCGTTATAGACTACATGCAGGGCATTGCCTTCATCAACTGCCCGAGTCCAACGTTCCAAACAGTAGGGCAAGTATTTCATACAAAACCTGCCACTACAGAACCCATGCTGCGCATCAGAAAATAAATTATACTACTCTAGGAAGCGCATTAACTCTCGCTAAATTATTTTTTCAATGATTTTGCAGCAGATGGAGGTGAGGCTAATTGGTCTGTAATTGTTTGCAGAGGCTTTGCTGCCTCCTTTGTACAGCGGTGTAATCCGCGCAAGTCTCCATTCAGTGGGTAAACAGCCAGCTTCGAACGAGGCTTGAAAAGCATGGATAATGGTTTGGTTAGTTCATCAGAGAGCTCCTTCAGTAGCTTAGGCGGTATGTCGTCTGGACAAAGTGATTTCGATTCATTTTGCGTCATCAGCTCTTTGAGAACAGTCTTTTCATCAAAAGATACAGCCTCAATTTTTGGACCTTCAGCGAAGTCGTAGTCGAGGGGGGGAGTAAATGCGCCTTCACTCGTAAAGATAGATTTAAAAAATTGTGAAAGGTACTCAGTTTTTCTTCATCCTCACTAATCTCTACATCTCCGCTTGACTTCAGAAGGGGGCTAGGGTCTCTGTTTCGCGTGCTGCTACTTATGTAGCTGTAAAATAATTTCGGATTTTTCACAGCACGATTCAGTAGGTCTTTTTCAAAATTTGCCGTGTCCTGAGGTTAAGTCGTTTGACTAAGTTCCTTTGTGCTTTGTATGAGTTTATGAATACAGGATTCCCATCAGTGAGAGATTTCTGCCACAATCTCCGCTTTTGATTTACTTCCTTTTTATCACCTGAGTCAGCCACCGAGGTAGACTGTGTAGCCCCTTCGTGAAAGCGAGCAATGATTTTTCAAGAGAACATACAATCATTCACTGACCCCATCCATCCAACCTATATTTCCGGAAAAAGCTGATTTCCGCTCTATATTGTTGATTTCAGCCTTCATTTGCTCGAAGTCCCACGTCAAAGATTTCTTCTAATTTTAATGAGCTGTTGAGGCACGGAAAAGATTAAATAGTCCCAGTAAAGTACAACGTGGTCGCTTCGACCTGGAAAACGCAGACATTGCCCCTCATCTATGCTTTCCATCGATTTCGTGAGCACCAGGTCCAAGCAGTTTGACTGCTGCCCCTCACGCACCCTCGTGGGAAATAAGACATGCTGAGTGAGAAATGACCTGAGTGCCATGTCCAAAAGGCGTTGGTCGAAAGCTAGTCCTGGGCTGCGCGCGTATAGTGAACTCCAGTTTATGAGCGGTGCATTAAAGTCGCCCATGATCAGGACGGAGAGCAAATCGCCCTAGCTCCTCTAACAGACGAGCGTCAGCCTCGGGGTCACTCCTCAGTGGTCGATGGATGGTCAGAACTTCAAGGCTATGTGATCCTGGTACCCTTATAGTGAGCCAGATAATCTCGGCGTTGCACGCGAATTGTTCTGTTTTTTTCTGAACAAGTAGGTCGTGTTTTACGTAAGTGACGACTCCTCCTCCCTGACGCCCTATCCTATCTCTTCGAAACAACTGAAATCCTGGTAGCACTAATTGGCGGTCATCTACGTTTTCAGACAGAAGTGATTTCATTCAAAGAAACAAAGTCAGCGTAAGAGTCACAGATGTGGATCTTCAGTTCGTCTAACTTGGGCAATATACTGCTCACGTTGGTGTTAAAAAATGTTAGTTTCAGAGTTTTGTGGCGTTTGATTATGGTGCCGTTTGAGTTCCCATTTAAGGTACCTATTGTGTCCTCATTCGGATCGGTTCCGTAGAAAGAATTAGGAGATGGTGCTGCATTATCTGGATGTTGTGGATCACGAGATTCTTCTCGTCATTCTGCAGTCTTGTTCTCGATTCCAGTATTCTTTACCAAAATAAATCAGTCAGAATGAATAGCAACTCCGGTTGCCAACGCACCGTCTCAGTACTGGGCGAGTACCATCTGCAAAGTGAGACCCACCTACCGGATCCAGACCAATCCATTGAAGAAAGAGCGGGATACATTTTCCTCAGGAGTTGTCCACTTAAGCAAACATGGCGAGGTATTAGCACTTTCGTCACTAGCGGAAACAAAATTTCGGAAATACTGTCCTTCCTCTCATATGAAACCGACGGTATGCTTGTTACAATTCAGCATACATTACACTAGGAAATCCGCCGCCATTTTCAACGTCTTCGCACCGACTGCCAATAGCCTTTACTACTTGGTAGGACATATTCCGCAAGAATCAAAATACTTACTTTGTAATAGTTCTCAAGGACTTCAAGCGACAAGTTGGTCCACACAACGTAGGAGTGTTTCACAGTTATGAATTGGGAACTTCAACAGTAACGGGATTCTACTGTCCAGTGCATGTGCAGAAGACAAACACTTCATCAAAACTACCGGGTCTTGCAAACTTCGATCAACACAAATATGGCACGGATGTACTTTCTTTCCAGTTCCTGTCAACTTTTGGACTCCAAGTCCCTCAAGAGTTAGGATAACAGTGATGTACATGAACCCGATGAAACATGCAATTCCGAATACTGACTAGAGTAACGTCCAATCAACTTGAAGTTTATGTGGAGATTTAAAAAAGGGCAACACTATAAGTGTTTGGAGGCGACATGATCAATAACTACGAGGGCAGAGGCGTTTAGAACAAGAAAGTTCTGTTACACCAAATCAACGTTTTTCTCATAACTACGTCTGACGTTGTGTTTGGGTTCCGGCCTTTACTGTTGAGAAATGCATACTTTACTACAGACGTTGTGGAATTTATGGTCTTTCATGGCAGTGCCTATTATCCTTAAGTATACGAACTTTGTCGATCTATGTAGAATATACGAGGGGTGTCATCTACACCACCTCTATGGGGGTCCTTGAACCCACATAATAGCATCACCAGAACAGAATAGACGGAACTTTCACAAAATCCTGATATTACATATAAAGAAAATTTTCCTAGAACCGCGAAAAATACTGCTGCATTAGCGCAATGACAACGTCAATGGTAGCAGAGATTATCGGCACGTAAAACGAGCGGCTCATGAGTCTTTATGATCAAAAGTAACCAAAGCCTGTTCATATGCGCCTGACTCACACTCACCTAGTTTCCAGAATTATTACCGTAAGGTCGTTATGACTAGAAAATCCAAAAGTGAACTTCCCTATCCTAAATAAAGATATTCTATTTGACTGATGTTGCACGCTACCAAGCAATCAAATTATTATCAACTATGACATGACTTTATCATTCTCAGCCCACCGGAGCTGAGCTGCTGCTCAGATTCTATTAAAACAGTCGCTGATCTTGGCCTGCTAGATCGCGTAATTCTGGTAGGCTCGCGACCACTCATTAACACTCTGCAAGAAAATTAACAACAGACATCCTAATTTGAAGACTAATGCTGGTTTTTCCTCACAAGTTTTTCTTCTAGGAGACGACTAGGATGCTTCGAAATATCTCCAATGAAAAATATGGATGCCGACACACTCCCGGTTGATGCCTATAAGTACAAACAGCTTTCACTTTTGGGCAGGCGACTGCTCTATTCCAGCAAATATGACAGTAATTATAGCCGTTAATGTGCACTTTCGAAAGCACAATATAAACTGACAAAACATCGACAATCATCGCGGTATCTCTGTTCTCAGAACCAGTGGCGAAAACCTTGCTGTATTCTACCACGAATATTTGACTTTACATACGAAACAAGGAGTTCGTTGAGAATACCATTGTGAATTTCTAAACTCTTTTATCACACGACAGCTACAGAAATAAATGCGACTCGTAATTGTTTCACATAAATGTCGCATGCCGCCAACGTACGCGAACCTTGGAAAATGATTAGGAAGCATGCATCTGCGACATGAAAAGCGATGGGCATTTTGAAGCACTTTTTACAGTACTTATTCCCAACAGATCGTGGGCATCCACAAGTGCTGTTGACGACCGCACCTTTCAAAGTCGTTTGGAAATTTTCGACTCTTGGTAGATTTGCCTTGTTCTAAATTTCTGTATACTGGGCAATCTGAGGGCCCGCTCGGATTTTGAAAAATGGTTCGTAATCAATAATACCTAGATCCTTACGACACTTCAACGGGACTTTCATTGAGAAACCCGTTATCCTACGTATCACTTTTTTGCCAACAGCGCCACGAGGTTCATTATCAAGCTTGCCAACAAAGTCTTCCAAGGAGTCTTTGGTGCGTATCGGCATGCACAGTGCAGGAGGCCTTTGGCTCATAACGACGATAGAGGCTAATATTCACCTCAGCTTTTTGATGGGCAGGGCCCGCTGCTGTTGTAGCTCACGAAGAATGACGGCATGTTGTTGAGCTATGTTGTTCACTTCTTAACTAAATGAATTTAATCAAACGGCATGGAGAACGTCCTTACCCCAGAATGGTCCGTTTCTTGTGTCTCGATGTAGGCAGTTCACTTTAGATCGTTGATTTCTGCCTCTCAGTTAGCAGTCTGAAATGAAAAATTAGTATAACTACTTGCCGAAAGAAGGGGGTTGGTGAAGGGTAGGGCCTTCCTCACACGGCGGAGGAAGAAGGTACGTCTTTATCAGGCCTTAACCTACAAAACGTTAAAGTAAATGCTGCCAACTGAAGTATTGGTGTTGCTGCTGCCAACCAGCGAGTCGCATTTCCGGCTGTCTATAACTGTCTACTATGTCATGATCGCCTTCCTTGTCATCTTCCTCCGATTCGGAAGTAAGTTGGCATGCGAAACTTTAAAGAATTATTTATTACGTATGGAGCCTGCTTCGTTCTCAACCCTCTGCGCAACTCCATTGACTCCGAACTTGTTAGGCCCCACGCATCTTCGTTTCTCTGAGCCAACCGCCGTGCCTTATTCAGAGTCAGGTCCCTCATCAGGACCCTAACCGAATAGACTGTCGTTCCGTCTGATGGTGGCTCATTTGTTTTCAAAAGAAGGTTGCGTTGTCTATCGTTCTTCAGCCAATTGACGCGGTTTATATCAAAAAGCCATGCCTTAGTCACCTCTGCGACAAATTTTTGTTCACGCAATCCACTACAGAGTACATCCGCGCGGAACTATACAGCACCATTCAACCGGTCATTGAGTTTCAGGGTGGAACAATGATAAGGGACAAAAAATCATTGTGCAGTACATGTGCGTCAAAGGGGGGTGAAATAAAAACCGTCCTCAGTTTGTAGGAAAACATATTTTAAAAAAGTGCCAGCAAGGGTAGCAGTGGAGGGAAGGTTTTCTAAAACAGATGCTTTGTAAAGAACAATGTGGAAGATGGAAGCACGTGGTGAACAAGTCCCTGCAATCAAAAAGGGGTGATACTAAATTCCATCAGCCTAAACAAATGTCAGTACACACCGTCTGCCGCCGATCAATACCATATTATCCAGCGCTTGAGTCGACATCATGTGTCCATTGGGAAAAATGGCACCGGGGCTGCAGAGCAACTGAAGAGAACGCGCCACTCCATCATCGTCGCCCAGCAGCATTGGGAATGCTGGCAACTCAGGCAGGCGTCTTTCAACAAACCGCCTGTGCACATGAACGGCTAGGTTTGTCGGCCTTTTTAAGGTGTTGCGAACTGTCTGTAAGAAGAACTCGAAAGGAAATGTAGTAAACCTATCCAACGCTCCGAAACGACTGCTGTCTTTATGTGAGTGAAGGAGGCAATGAATGTTATATACTACGTCGGTTGGATTAAGCAATAGGAGAAAATCAGCAACAGAATCGTTTAACATGAGACGGGCAAAACTAGTCCAGGATATACATAAACTTGGGAGGTAAAATATGTAAATACAATGTTCAATAACAAAAAGTGGGGTAAAAGAATGTATCAAGAAAAGGAGGTAAAAAAATTGAGCCTATATACATAAATAATTACCGGTATTCGGCAATCTTTACGTATTTGAGGGAGACAAGCGATCTGCGCTTGCGTGAAAACACCGCCGGCAAGCACTGACTGCATTTCTCGATGGCGAAATTAATTAGGACACATAACTTTGGCTCCAGTCGCCACAAGTGAATTAGCTCCTGCATTAAACCCAGACAGACGAGGTGCATGAAATCGACTGGAAACGAGGTTATCAGGACGACTGATAAATCATCAGAAGAAGGTCTGCCCTTGTGGTGCAATGCCAGGGTTCGATATCGGAATAACCTCATGTCCCGCAACCCACCACCCTACGTGGGGCATGTCATGCGGTTGGCAAAGGGGCACCCAACATGATAATACCTGCAGTAATTAC